AAGGAGGCAATAGAGCCCATAGAAGTATTACGTAAGACAGGCGGTAAACAAATGAAATACTCTCTGAAGAATACAAAAAAAAAAGGTAGCGTTCGCGCATGCATAGTGCTTTTTAGCATCTCTCTAGCAGTTGAATGCGCAACCCAACAAATAAAACATATATGAAGACTGAACTTTGTCCTTTTTCCCTGCATTTCTCTTCTAACTGCCAACGTTTTTGAGAGTTTAAACCTCCTCGACAGGACCTAAAAATCTGCATACAAGGGGTGCATGCAGCCCGACCATACTAACATTTGCGATTGCAGTAAAACATATTCCAATTGGAGACTTGCAGTTGTTAGTTCAGCATGTGTCCAATGAAATTTTCTACCTATGTTCTCGTCCATGCCTTTATTCTTTTAATAGGTGTGTTAAAATACAATCAATAAAAATGAGTAAGCATAGCTTGCTTCATAAAGAATAACGCATCTCAAGCTATTTGGTTATTATTATAAGGTACGAACAGCTCGCATTTCATAAGCACAGAGATTGGGGTAGTCCGATAATATGCATGTTTCTCCTCTGTGTTCTGGTGAGGTCCATACCGTTTGTGTCCAGTGTTACATGAAGTTCCTTCCATGCACATATGATTGTCCCCATTGTTTAAGCCGAATACATCTCTCTTAGAATAATGTTTTACACTTACATACCGGCTCTAGGCCACTCAACATCCATCACACCTCGGTCTTCCCTGGCATGAATACATAAGAATGACTGCGTCTGGGAAGGCAGCATTGAGTACACACGTATACTTGGGATGTTCATGGCATGACATGTTTATGCATATGCCATCATAATAGCATGCAATATGTCGAGCCAACAAAAGGGCCTGGTATTCATTAGGAAACCCCATTCCATAATGTCACTTTATTGATAAACACCCAAGTTCAAGTACAGTTGATTCTATGCAAAAACTGAATGAAGGGCACAAAACATGACATTTATTCAACATTTCATGAAAATGCAAGACTGCCTCAATCATACATGATAATTATGCAGTGTACACAATAAATGACATGAAATATGTGTTAACGGTGACTTGTTGCTATACGTGCACATCACAATGACAAGAGTAAAGAAAAGCGATGGCATTCGTGGTGCACTCACAACTAGCGACAAGTGGACGCAATTCGTGCCAAATACCTTTATCAAGATTAACACTCCACATGTGGAATTTAGCGAATGAAATGAAGTACACATATTGAACTTTTGAAAGCACAGGAATAGGAAGTAGACATAGACATATCCCCTACCGGGGATATGCAAAACATATTATGCAGATATGTAGGCATGAAGCAGGACATACACGTAAAAGACATAATAAAACAGATGTAATAGGCACAGCAAACCCACGGACCTAATCATAGACTAGTGAGGGTAACAACAGCTCTATCTGAAGAGAAGAAGAGCAAAATTAGCCACTAAAATAGATGCCAACCCAGATGTAGTTGGAATAAAAACACACGAGCGTATAATTGCCCTCAACAACAAGTGCAAAGCTGTAAAATCTTAGGGCAACAATAGCTTCAGCCTCAAGACAACAAGAGGAAAATCAGCCACAGGCCAACCTAGCAGAAATCAAAATAAATATACACGAGCTTAGAATTGCGTTTGGCAAGAAATGCAAAGCAAAGAGAGGAAAAACGAGAAAACAGACACAGAGGCAATGAACAAAACCATTACTACACTGACATCTGAAGCAGAAATTCAAGGCGGTAAACCACCAAGGCAGAAAGTAAGCAAAATTTCCCGAGTGACGAGAAACATAATGAAAAACAGGGACACTTGACACAGAATATTAAAAATAGGCTTAGCCTAGTGAACAAAGCTTCTCATCAAGAACTCTAGTCACACAGAATTGCAACGTAAATGAGATCAAGACACCACCCAAGCTACCTAAAGGGAACTGCTTATAAAGGACCAAAATGTACACACTGAAACAAACAGGGCAAACGTGTTAGAAATTTCAATGACATTATGACGGCAACTGAAAACATCTGCTCTGAACTGTATGGATCAAAGATAAGTAATTACTGTTGAAATGAAATCACAATAGGACAAAACACTGCAGTTCCTCATGTACGGTACTTGGGGATTCAAACGTAACATCAATTTTTTGGGGATAACTGGTATGCACACCTGCTCGAAATAACCACGTCATGTCGTGATAAATATAGTCTCTAAGAACAATTTTGGCTCTGATATACACGTTCTAGTCGAAATTACGCCAATATGACCCGAACTTAACGCAGTGTCAACAAAAGTATGTGCGTTACTGAGACCATAATTCCTGCATTTCAATCCGTGAGTACTGTACCTACAGACTAGGTTAAGAGGCCATGCCACATATGCATCATAAAAAAAACTGAAGGAAAACACGAAAGAAATGAGGCATACACACTATTTTACATTGATTGTAGCAGCCTGCTTTCCAATGCTACGACTACCAGCTTTTGCATCTTTAGCTTCATCAGCTGCCAAACGCATATTCTCTTTCCGCAGAAGAATGTTAATTACGGTTTTAAAAAATGCTCTCAGCAACCTCTCCTGAATGTTGTGGCAAGGTGGAAAACAATTGACAGCTTGCACACTGTCATTAGTGGTGGCCACAAGTTGACCAATCATAACTTCATTGCACAGAAGCTTGTTGCTATTCACGCTAAACATATTCTCAGCTGTTTCGAGTTCTGCTGGCCCTGGTGATACAAGCTTGCTGTCATCAGTGTAGAATTTAACTTAGTGAGCACACTAGCTTCGTTCGACACTGTGGCAGTTTTGCACTGCTCACAAATCTCTGTGTGCTTTGCAACACTCTTTACCACAAACCCAGCAAGGTAAATAAAAGACTCATGCTCCATCATGCTTATGTCGAGAAGATCACTGGGATATTCAACAGCTTCTGTATCATTGCTGTTAGGAGCTCACGTGGCAATATTCGATTACAACTAGGGAAGGAGCATCGTTGATAGCATAGCTTCAACTTCTACTGGGCCGAAAAAACTGTGCCAAAGTAGCAGCTCGAATAACACTACGAAATTGAAGAGCTTTTGGTACTGCATTCTTCGCCCCCAGAGTGGAGAACAAATTCTCAAGAGCATCTTGGGCAAATCGGCTGAGCAAAACAAAAAAGAAGCCCTTCTCATTAAGATAATAATGCTGCAGTTCCAATGCAACTTTACACACCAAAATTATGCCCGTCTGCACAGGCTTCCACACGTGTTTCGATGGAGAGCCTATCTTCAGATCTGTAAAAAGAGTTACCATATCCTTTAAAAAAATCAGTGAGTCCTCATATTTCTCGATCATTTAACTTGCTGATGCCAAGCTTCGTTGTACGTGATGTCAGTACTTTGAACCACCTATAAATGGTTTCTATGAACCATGCTGTTGTCAACGCTTCTTGGGGCAAATCTCCCCTTTGGACCAGGAAACGTAGTGCAGCTGCAGTATCGTTATTTAGCAACGAAAATGCAGGCTCATAGTGTCCTGGGTCCAAGAAGGACGGTTTCAAGTGCGGTGCTATGTTTAATTGCAGTTCAGAGTCTATTTCTACCAGCTTCTGAATCGGCACAAGGTTAACCTCATTCGAAGGCAGCTTGTGATTTTCGACAACATTTTCGGGAAGGAAAATCGATTGACCACGTGTGAGGTGGTTCTTCAAGTTCTTTAGCAAATGTGCGGTGTCTGCCATAAAATAAAGCTTGTGATTTTGGTCAACAGGATGACAACAAGAAACTCTTGACACAGAATGCTTTCCCACAACTATGCCAAATTCTCTCCAGAGCGCCATATTCCCACCACCCATGTCGCTAACGATTGCATCTATACGAACCCCGATTGTGTCACATTCCTGAATAATTTCAATCAACTGTTCTTGAACCGCAGCACTGCTGAACGAGTTTCCAGTTATATGATGAGCAACTGTCTGCTTCCATCTTTCTGTAACCCCACCCAGCATGAAAACAAGTCCATGCGTTGCCACTGCAGCATGTGGCAGAGAACCGTCGGCCAAAGGTAAAGTTGGCTTTCCAATAACAGTGCCAGTCGTTTGGTCAAACGCAAGCCCTGAGCTCAACTGAATTTCACCGAGCATCAGAACTGCATGCCTCTCATGCTCCTTCATGGTGGTTATCTGAAATATGCAACATGCATTAGGCAATAAAGACATTAATAAAGACATTTAAAATACAGTTCTTTTCAAGAATAAACAGGCAGTGCACAGTGCAAGCTGTGTTTCGATGTTTGCATGCAAGAAGATTATCACCTATTGAAATTTATGCGGAATTGTGCCTAGTTAGAGGACCTGAAGTCATAAGTGAAGGAGAGGTGAGAATATGTTTTGGAAACTTTATGAATGGCCGCTAAAACGTGCACGACAAAGAGCGCAGTGACAGGCACTAACACTGGCACTAGCAACACATGAAAGCTTAATAAATATTAGGGTTTACGTGCGAAAACCACGATACGATCATGAGACTTGCAAGAGTGGAAGGCTCTGGAAAAGGTTTCACTTTTTGCTCAAGGTGTACTGCTGAAAGAGATGCTCACGAGAATAAATGTAACAAGTATATTCAGCTACACCATCCTTTCACCTTTAAAGAAAGGGACTTCAGAACCTCATGTAGAATTCCTGGTGAGAACTTGTAGTTTTCAACACGACGTTGTAAAGTTCTTTCACTCGGAAGGGGTACAGCAAGCTCCCTGACCGCATTGTAGCCTCTGGATCCACATGCCAAACGGAGCTTGAGGCCTTTCTGTATAGTCTCTGTAGACCATTGCTTCCCTCGCACACTGGAAGTCCACATGCCTTGCAGTTGATCTGGTGACAGGTACTTCTTGATGTTTCGCGTGAGTTCATGGTTTCTACGGTTTGCTCTGCTTTTCTGTTGTTGCAGTGTAGCAACTTTCCGCTTCATGTTGTTCAAGCACTCTTCCAATGTAGCTATTATTTTGGGAAGGGCAGCTACTACTGCTTGATCAGCATCCCAACTACTTGAACTGGAGCCTGCAAGGCACAGATTGAGCAGAAAGTGACAAGAGTTTGAAAATTTCACTATTTAACCCAGACTAGCATGTGAGGGAGAACCATAAGGATTTAAAGAAACAAAAAAAATCTGTGCCACTCCATATTATTCAGCAGAAAAGTGTAAGCGTAACTTTTTGAGAACACAACAGTGGTTTTAACAAACAGCATAAGCTGACACTGTTGCTCAATGAAGACGGACAAATGGAGCTATGCAGAACCCGCAATGCATGCAGCTGAACTATTTTTTTGGTGGGGGCGTGTCCTTGATCCGAAATAGGGGCAGGACAGTCAAGTGTGGTCACGTCTCACTTTGTATTCTGCGTGTGAAAGCAGAAAGACATTTTGGGAGCAGCGAGTGTCCGGTGTACCACCTCCTAGCTATGCCAATAGTTAGTAATGAGTAAAGACATGAATATATGGCACGTACTCTCGGTTATGACGTAGGGTTATCAATGGCGGTGGCTATTTCAAACAAAGTGGGGAGAGTGCCATGGTTCCACTGTTGTAGCTTTTTTTGACAGAGTTGCTACAAGACGGCAGATGATTGCGTGTCACAAGTGATAGTGTGATGATGTTGCGCAGTGTGTAGCAGTGTGAAACACAGCTTACATGTTCCTCCAATAAACTTACGTTGTGTGCGACTCCTCTCGCTTAACAAGAATGAGCATACCAACAAAAGAAACAAAACAGGGCACCAGTACTTGGAGCGCATCCGTACTATTAAATGCACCAATATATCAATCTGTTATGAGCGTGCACGTAATTTCCTGTAGGTGGCGATGTGTCACACTCAAGTGTATATTGCATGGTGTGTGAGAACAGTAGCACTGAACACTTACCGGTGACATCAGCTGTGCCCTCAGCAGACAGAAATCCTCCACAGGCAGCACAAAAGTTCTGCTGAGCTGTAAATGACGGATAATCTTATTAGTAGTACTGAAGATCGGTACAGTCACCAAAGCTTTAAATTAGCACAGTTGCAGCACAGGCAATGAGGGATGGCCAGTGACTAAAATTAAAAAATGTATTTGATGCTGAACAGAAATTTCACTCACACTCAACAGGCACCGTCAAAGCTTGAAATGGCTGGCAGCTCGATTCATGGGTTGTTTCCACACCTGCGCACATATGATAGTTGGAACCAACAAAAACATCTGGCAGACACATGCCTATACAAATCATGAAAAGTAGCACTCACCTGCTGAACAAGCTGTTTGAACAACCTGGCAGTGCGTCACATTCGGAACTTGAAGGTGCATCTGCAACATGTGATCAACAATAAATTATGTGAAATTTCAAAGCAACATGTCACTGCCATTACCTTCTGGAAAATCCGATGGTGCTGAATCAGTGGCAGTGTGACCTAAAAAAGATAAAGACAAATTGAAGAAGACCATCATCTCTGTTACATTGCATTTTGGCAAACAAGCATCAACACTACTTGAAGCATTTACAATACGCACAAGTGCATTACAATTTTTCAGTAATAAGAATGCATGCCGAAACCCAAGCGACAATGCTTTCAATGCTTGTAATGTGTGAACACCATACTGCGGAGCAAAATGTTGTGGATCTGCAGCACACCCCTACAGACACGATTGTAAAATATATAAACCAATGGATACAAGTACAAGCCGTTACAATGCTTCGACTACATGCAGCATGTGTGTTCGCTACGTTACCTTGTGAAGAACCTAACCCTGCTTGAGTGGCATCACTGTTGGCTCCATAGCCTGCAAATTATAAAACATCAATGAAGGCATAAAGCACGTTTGTAATTACGGTAAGTAATAAATGCAGTAAGAACTCACCATCAACAGCAGCTGGTGTCAGAAGCACATTCGTAGCTGATGGGCAGTGTGTCTCTTTGGCTTCTGCATAATTCAAATATGTATTAATGATAACGAAGAGGGAAAAGGCGTGAGATGTGCTTAACCGTCAACTCCCCATCAACAAGAGCAGCTGCTGTTAGTAGTAGATTAAGGCCACACGATGAGCGGGCTGAATCATTGCATTCTGGAGAATGAAAAAAAAATGCATTAATTATACCAAAGAAAAGCCATTAGCTATACACAAACAGTGCACAACACCTATATGCAAGACGACATGTCTCAGGTTAGTGAAAGGCTGAGAAGTGATTATGGGTGATGCAGAAAACAATGAAGACGCACTAAACATTCTCCAGTTTTTTAACGCGATTGGCTTACCTGACGTTTGCAAATGCTCTTGACTGAAGATCGTAGGCGCCGCGTCTCTCTTCAACTTTTTAGTACCAAACTTGCGCAGCAGTATCGGCTCGAATTGGTCCGCAGTGAAGTGGTCCTAGGTAAAAAAATATTCGCGGCTACTGTTACACAATGAAACAGCACGCTCTAAAAAAAAAAAACTAAAATAACCTTTAGTGTCAATACGTACACGACTACGCACTGTTTGCCACATTCTCTTCCCACCAGACTAGCACACGGTGCGTACAGTATGTAGAAATACGCACCATTCAGCCTTGCGTGTCTTTATTTCAACCACAGAGCTTCTGAATACTGAGCGCGCTGGAGCACATGCTTAAACGAAATGATGCGACATTAAGATCGCTGCCCACGCCTTTACACATAAAGTCCTTACACCCATACACACATACACGCGGGAGTCATTTAACCATACGTCGGCCAATAAACAAAGTTTAGTTTAGCACTTGAATGTATCCATTACATTTACTGTGAACATAGTCGACGATTATTTCTGGATCAAACGAATAATAATAATAATAATAATAATAATAATAATAATAATAATAATAATAATAATAATAATAATAATAATAATAATAATAATAATAATAATAATAATAATAATAATAATAATAATATCTGGTGTTTAACGTTCCAAAACCACAATTTGATTATGACGGACGTCGTTTTGGAGGGCTACGGAAATTTCGACTACCTGGTATTCAATAAGGTGCATATAATGCTAAGTACACAGGCCCCAACATTTATGCCTCAATCGAAAGTGCAGCCGCCGCGGTCGGCATGGATCAAGCCAGAGACGCAACGTTTACACGGCACTAAACGCGGCACGCGTTTCAACTGGCATGCACGTTTACCATCTCTTTGTGAGATGCTCGAGCTTGACAGTACCGCAACACTGTAAACACGAATACAAGTGAAACGATAGAGTTTAGCTCGCCGGTACTCACCTCACAAAGCCGCGACAATACAGGGTCCAAGTCAGTCCTTCCGATACGCTGGAGCCACACTTCTTGCCGAGCGGCATTGTCTTTTCCTCGCGGAAGCGAAAATAGCTTCTTTCTTCTGCTGTACCTGCTTTTGCAACCGCTGGAACAGCAGGTCGACATCCCGAAACGTGCAGAATTACCGTGCACACACTCACGCGCGGTCGACCTCCGCCTACACAACAATACCAAGCGCGCACGCCTAGCCACAAACAAACACCGCGAAAGTGGACAAACAAAATGGCGTTTGCGATACCTTCACAAAGGCTAGTGCGTCATGCTGCAGATTTTTAGCACCGCCGAGTTTATTACACGGACAGCAGTGGCGCTGCCATCGAGAGCGTCACCGCTGAGCGCGTCTGCAAGCAAACGGTGGGCTATCGCGTTGAGTTTTGCGTGCTTGCGGTGATGTTTTTTGTCACTGCATGCCACTTGCTTATATACACGTCACATTGTCAAATTTAACGTTACTTTTTGCACTTTTTTTCTTTCTCAATCACTCTTTTGATGCATCGCCTAGAACCGCAGCGCCCAGATGCGCTTTAACGGAAACATGAGCACCAGCTCATCTTTGCGGCGAGGAGCCATACAGCCCCTCAATTAGCGTCGTTTACTATCTGCAATGCCCGCGAGGGGAGAGGAGTCGGCACATTGACACGAAAGGCGCTACTTTAGTTTGTTTATTTTTTTCGAGATTTCGCTCGCAGGATTTAAAGCTGGACGGTTGTGCTCTCGCGATCTCCGACATCAGCGTAGCTCCCGCCGACTGGTTCGCCCTCCGCGGTCTCCTGACGCCGTGCAGCTCTCGCATTGTGGCGCCCCGCCCTTGGACTGCTTCGACCGGATCCCCACTTTCCTATCTCCTTCTTTTTTCCGCTTCTTGCCTGTCTATTTCTTCATCTATTTTCCTTCTATTCTTTTTATCCCTCCTTCCCCCCATCCCTATAAGGCACTGCGCCGTGTCGCCTGAAGGCAGACAGAAATTAGGTGCCTTTTTCCTCTACCTTGTAACCACTACCACCCTAGTTTATTTTTCAGGGACTTTAGTTGCCGTCGGGCCACGCCTACGGACGCTGGTTGCGCTGGTCGCGCCTGGCGTCAGGCTACAGAGTGCTCGCGTTTCGCTAATGTAGCGTCGCTGTGCCTAGCGTGCGCGCGCGTCAACGCTACATAGGAATATATTGGGCCTTTCATGATGCGCTCGCCGCCGTTTTCGGACTCCACATATACCAAATTTGGTGTTACGTGACGTAAATTTATGACGAAAGTGTATGACTGTAGCAAACATGATAATCCTGACACGCGTGTCATGTAAGAACTTGACAGCATACCATGCTTATAGCGTGCACGCGGTCGTTTCACTAGCTCCACATATACTAAATTTGGTATCACGTGACGTGAATAGATGACGAAGGTAAGTGACACATTCAAATATGATAATCTTGACACGGAAGTCATGTACGGCATCATTTAGCTCCACCTCGTAACATTGTGCTGATTTTTAAGGGACATATCAACATTCCTAATTTATGCTTGGCATATCATCGATTCCCACTGTACGTGGGATCGGCCAATATTTTTTTTTCACTGTGATTCAACCAAAACATTGGCAAATTCAACCAGAGGTTAGGGGCCCATGCCACAGAATATTCGTTGCTAGCGTCGGTGGTATTGTCAATGGATCAAATATCTCGATAAGGAAGCAATGAATAATACTCACGGCTTCAGCCAGAATATAACCCAGGAGTTGCAAATGGGAGCCTAGTCTTCTGAAAAAAAAAAAGCGCGTCAGTGCCTGATTTAAAAAAAAAACATCTATTACTGTCGTGACAGGACTGAAATCGTGTGGCAGTGTCGGCTATTCGCTTATATATTCGTCTAACAAACATTACATATCCATGACTCCTTAAGGTATATTGCACCATAACGCTAATATACTGATAACCGATACGTATGAAATACACATCATCGCCCAGTAATTTGCTCTTCGTAGTGATGAAACTGGCGTGCCTGACTGTAAAGCCCATACCATATGTTCGCGTTACAGCGCGTCGGCGCATGCTGGGTAGACTCAGCGGCTTACCATTGCCCAGTGCAGCTGCGCGCCTTCTCACTCCATAAGGAGATGCGCGTGGTTTAATCATGCAACGCGCCGTCTTGCCGCAATGCGAATGTGTGGTAAGGGTTTAAGGTATATACCAGCATTACATCAAACCATGAGCTACCAATTACATATTGTTCAGGCGATGATCATGGGACGTACTGGCTTGTCGAGGAGTGTGGCATCGGGTGGGCGACTAGGAAGCTTGGTTCAAACGTCGGCTGCGAAAGTGGTGACGTGGTCATCGGCTAAATACCGCAACGTGGCGATTAAGATGCCTCCAGGGAGAACTTGCTTCGTGAAGCCGAAGTTTATGACGGGTAGAGGTGTTCGGTTTGCAGCTATAGTTACGACGCCGTGAGGGACGGTGAGGTCACGGGCCAGTAGGACATCAGGAGTCGGCGTGACGATGTAATTTCCATTCAACACGGGTGAGGTCGTGCCGAATTCGGCGAATGTGAGGGCTTTAGGCGGTAAGCGGAGGGAATCTGTGGCACAAAGACCACGTTGAAGTTCAGGTTGAATATCCGGCTGAGAAAGGTCTTAGCAAAGAGTACCAGCAGAACAGTCTATGAGAGCAGAGTGGGTCGACAGAAAGTCCATTCCGAAGATGAGGTCATGAGCACAGTTATTGAGCACCGTGAATAAGACAGGAACGTAGTGGTCGGCGACACCTTTGCGAGCCATACACATTACAATGACAGGAGTGGTTCCGCCATCGCCGACACGTACAGCTTCTGTAGCAGGAGGCATGAGTACTTGGCGACAAAGATGAACACTGATTATAGACACGTGAGTGCCAGTATCCTGCTAACACGCAAGTTCGTGGGATCGAATCCCGGCTGCGGCGGCTGCATTTCCGATGGAGGCGGAAATGCTGTAGGCCCGTGTGCTCAGATTTGGGTGCACGTGAAAGAACCCCAGGTGGTCGAAATTTCAGGAGGCCTCCACTACGGCGTCTGTAATAATTATATGGTAGTTTTGGGACGTTAAACACCACATATCAATCAATCAAATCAATCAATGAGTGCCAGTATCGACTAGTGCTGTCAAAGAAATAGTGTTCACGTGCACATCAATAAGATTCTTGTTCGTAGGAAGCGTCAATGGAAGGTTTGGTTCAGACGGAGATTATGAAGCACTACCTCCTGAAGCTGCACGGTCTAGTTTTCCGTCAGGTACGATATAATGTTGGGCGGCGAGGGATGGTGGCGTGGCTGGGGCGATGGGGAATGACGGCGTTGAGGAGACGCAGAACGAGCAGAAAGGCGGCTGTTAGCTGTGTCGAAAGCAAAATCCGTACGTCTGGGTGAGCACCGGCAAAGATCTTCATTTGGGCGATAAGGTGTAAATAACAGGTTCTTATGTGGCGGCGTCCATGAGGCATGGCAGTAGCGGGAGACATGTCCAACGCGGTGGCACCGGAAACAAGTCGGTTTGTCGTCGGGAGTCCGCCATTTCGTGGGGTTACGAGATCGTGGAGGAACGAATGGTTCATGTCGATATGCATTGATGGCATTGGTTTAAAGGAGGGGCGAAAGATGGGGCAGGT